ACCTCTTTTCACTGCACTATCAAATCATTGTACTCCTCCGTGTGAAATCAATGTCAACAGAAACAAATTTGTAGCATCAATTGTAGTTAACATAATCGGTAAAGATTTGGATTTTTGAATTTCTGTTATGTTGATGTGTATCTTTTTTCTTTATTATGTATGTGAATTTCAATTTGATTCCATTGTTGTCGCTGTATTTCTACTTGTTTATTTTTGTATTTAAGTGTTGTAATATTAATGTAGCAATGTAAATAGTTTGTGTGTGTGCTACTGTTTTTATTTCATTGCATTTAAATCAGAGTGATTCGCAGATTCGACATGATTAGTATGTCGTTACTCTGTTGGATTTTCTATATAATATGTTGATGTTGTCGCTATGCGAAAAATACAGAGTTTCCATCGAACATTATTTATTCTAGAGGAAAGGGAAAATATCGATAAAACCCCTAAAAGGTGAAGAAAATGGTCTCACAACCAAATTCGGATTGGAAGTCGGTTATGTAAGGGAAATGTATTAGTACCCCTCACATTTGTTGTACTCAATGGAAACCATCTTGTTTGTCTATGCGCAAATGAATGTTAATATCTAAAGGTTACTTGCTAAAGGGGAAAAATAAGCTTTAAATTAGTATGCTTGTCAAGGATGAGACCCCGTGTCTACATATTCTCATATGAGAAATCAGAGCTTCGTAGTTCAGAGTAGAAAATAAGTGTGTGTTGATTGATTTTATATCTTGAAAAAAGGTTTTGGAATGATGACGTAAGGCGCAAATTTTTTTTAATGAGTTAAGGTTGATTTTTGAGTTTGCTCATGAAATTTGTGATGCAAGTTCAATCATTGGTACTTAGAGGGACACAAGTATCTAACCACCAGTTAAGTGCAGACAACAATCAAAATACTTGAGAGTTGAAAGTACAATGGTATCCTAACCCCTCTTTTTCGCCCTATGAGGACTGAATTAAACTCGTTTTATTCTTAAGTGTTTTGAATGGAAGACAGGTATTGGGTCACAAGCCAAGCTGGACCAACAACCCATGAGAAATATTATGCACAAGTACATACACCTCATTCTGTTTCATCCAGTTTATTGTAAAAATATTTTGAAAATGACTTGGCGTTGGACCAAGTGTTTGGAGTTTGAATTGTGAAATTGGTGTGAAAATGAAATGGAAGAGTGAGAATAGAATGAATGAGGTACTTGACGTTGGATCAAGCACTCACGTTGCTTTTGATTGAATTTGATTTGGAAAATACTTGATATTGGATCAAACTTATTTTTATCTTTTGAAAAGATTATTATTTATCGTTTGATTTTATCATGGTTATTAGTATGCAAAGAAAAGCGGGAAAGAAAGTAAATCCTACGCTATTACATGTTTATAGGAGTGGAGAATATTTTACCCACCATGGGGGGATAATACATAAACCAATATATTTTTATGGGAGTTGAGTACACTTTTCCCACAATGGAGGATGAATAACATACCACAAATACTAAGTGCGTACAAGCATACAAACCATCGTAATGCCCAAATCAATCAAGTGGCAATGATAAAAACCATATATCATGTATAAAAAAATTATTAGGAATGGAGTCAAAATGGATATCAATGCAATTAGAACCCATGGCTAAAATCATGCATCAAAATGAAGCAAAAATCTAAATGGCTTCATCATGATCAAAAGGAAATTTCACTCAAGAATTAATTAATATCAAAAGCACCATTAATCAACAAACTTGAATGAAAATTAACACACAAGAATTATTTGAAAATTGTCATACAAGTACCGTTTGAAGTTTAACATGATGAGTCAAGATCAAATTAATCTCTATGTTAACCAATTTTATCCAAAGCATTTCAAAGTAATTAAAATCAAATAAACCTAATTGACTTTAATCATTTTCATTATTTTTTACAAGCATGACCTAAAGAATTAAGTCCCATTATTTATTTCCAATCAAATCATGACAAAAAAAGTGCACATAAAGAAAAAAATTAAAATACCATAAAAAGAAAGAAACAAAATGTAGTTAACAAAATAAAACCAAAAAAATAAATAAAGCAAAAGGCGCAGTAATGGAGACATTGGTGTAGATAGCAGTTATGGTTGGGCTTAGAAAAGCCCAAACGTAAGGGACCATGCCAGACATGGGGTGCAAGCACAAAATAGGGTGCTAACAGAATTTCTAGTGGCCTTAGAAGCCCAAGCAAGCATAGCCAGGGAGGATGCATGTGAAGGGGTTCTATGCAGAAAAAACGGGTGCCAATAGTTAAACTAATGGATTTTGAAGCCAAAATCACACATGAAGGATAGTTGAATGGAATCAAAAACATCACATGCCTGCATTATACATCACGTGTGCTTCTCCTTTCAAAATTACCTCTCGCCAGAGACAAATACCTCTGTTGCGCCAGAGCTTGCCACCAGCGGCGACGGAGAACGAAAGTACACAATCTTTACATCTAATTTCTGAGAATTCTCTGCAAAACTAAATCGTGAGTTGTGAATTGTGAAGAAGGTTGAATTTACAGGAGTGAAAATCAAGGTTAGATTTGGAATTGTGATGAGAGTTAGTTATGGAATTCAGTTATGTTAGCTGGCAATTAGCTGGAAATTGAGTGTTAATTAGTTATGAATTAGAATATGAAGTTAGCTTGTGTGATTTTGAAATTTAGTTATGATGAAATGCGGTAATGAGTCTTGATGCAGATAGTTTGTGCGCAGTTCTTGTTATGTTAGTTGTGATGAAGTGTTATGTGCAATTAGTAATTAAAAAATCTATTATGCATTTTGAATTGTGAAGTTGTTCTGTTATGATCGTGGGTTAGCCATGAAAGCTGAGTATTTGCAGTTAGTTGATTAGTTAAGGCATGGTTTTAAATTGCGGTTGCGGCTGAGAAAGCGGTTGTAAATGTTAGCGGTTGCAGTTGTGGATGTTGCGGTTGCAGTTAACACGGTCCCTGCATTGCGGCCGTTGTGGGGTGATATTATTTTATACACACATTAAATATAAAAAATTGTAAAGTTATTCTAATTATTTATGTTTCTTGTCTTTATAATTGTGTACTAGTTTTAATTCACTTTTAGACTACTTGTAGGCTATTGTATTGTATTTATGTATAATTTAAATTGAATTATAACGAAACAAACATTATCATAAATAATATTGGAAGTTTAAACAAACATAAGCTGGAAAGTAATTTTTCAAGTACATAATACAAGTTACAATTTATTTAAAATAAAAAGGACTATAGACACAAACATATTAATGTCTTATATTGTAGTCTTAATGGTGAAAAACATCATCATTTTGTCACACAAAGATATCTTCACTGTAAAAAAACAAAACAAAACAAAAAAGATGATAATTCTAATTTGTACCTTTAAATTGCATCTAAAATTAAGACTTTTCACATATATAGTTAACTAAATATAAAGTCAAATGTTTGAAAATATAACTTATGTGTCTCTTGGTACCACATTGTGGAATGACGTGAAGGAGCATAACGTGTACTTTCACTCAGACTATCATCTTATGTAGCTCCTTGTCTAAAGACATAACCAAAAAAATCACCATTTGATTGTTGATGATAAGGATTGTGATCATTCATTGATTGTTGGTAGTACGTAGGAGCTTGATCACTAGGATATTGGTTATAAGAGTTGAAAAACAGATATTGGTAAACAGGTGGATAAGATTGTTGACTACTTTGTGATGAATCGCCAATCTCAAAATCACTAAAACTATGAGCAATACTAGAAGAGGAAGAATTTTCAAGTGGAACATTTTATTTTATTTTCTCCTTTCTTCTAGATTGTGACACATTTCCTCCTGTCTCAAGTAGTGAGGTGTCAAAACGATCCAGATCACTCAAGTTCCTATAACGCCTATAATTTGGTGGTGTTTCATGATATGTATCAAGTTCATCATCTTCTCCTTCATCATCACCGCCTCCACTTCCACCATCACCTTCACCTTCATTATACACTTCATTACCACCCCATCACCATTATTACTGTTTGGTGGGCTTAAACCACCACCACTTTCATTAGATTCACTATTATCATCAACATTTTCATTATTTGTATCAACTATCGGCAACCATTCTCCATTTTAAACTCCATCCAATAATGGATTTTCCCTCTCTTCTATCCAATGAGATAATGGATCTTCTTGAGATATAGAGTCAAGATTTATCAGATCAAAATTTGCTTCTATTTCTTCCTGACTCTTCCTTAACTTATCCATCATTCTCAACTTCATGTTGTAATATGTGAAGACAAACTTATACAATTTTTTATACTTCAATCTGTTTCTTGTCTTTGTGTGGATATAGCTAAATGTACTCCAATTTCCGTCACAATTTGTGGCAGAGGTTGTTTGACTAACAACTTTCAAAGCCAAACGTTGATGTTTGGGCTTTTTAAAGAAGAAATAAAATTAAGTTATTGGTTATATTAAAAAATAAAGTATATTTATAAAAACTTATAATAAAAATAAACTTGTATTTTTACCTGCATCCATCTTAGACCAAGATTTTTGAGCTAGAGGCGTACCAAACGTTTCACTCTTTTCTCTAAAAAGTGTTAGCTATATAACAAAACATATCAGTACATAAATTTTTTTCTAATAAATGATTTATCATATGAAAATATAATATCCGTTACTTACTTGATTTAGATCTTTGATTTGATCATCTATGTTTCTTTCTATCTTCATGATTACATTACTTGTTCTATTAAATGTTTCTTTATACACATCTTTTCCATATTCAATTCCATATTAAAATTGTGGAATAAGAAAATAACCTAGAAGTCAAAATCAACTATTAAGGATATGATATTATAAATTTAAATTTCAATACAAAATTAAAATTATAAAATATATTGACATTTCAGCAGAATGAAGATCAGAGTGCATGAATTTCCAACACTTGTCAATGATATCATTATATTTGGAATGATAACGAGAATTTTGCTTAATAACTTGTTTTGCTCAATCAATGGCTTCATATATGAAACCCATTGTTGGTGTCTCATCACCATCAACTAGTCTCAAAACTTTTACAATTGGCTTAAATACTTTCAATATAACATTAGCCTTACTCCAAAAGTCCCTACACATAACAAATTTCCTTGCTTCATATCCTGGTCCTTTCTTTTCTTTATCATATTTTGTTTTTCTAAATTCTTCAGAATTGAACATGTTTTCAAGACCATTCTTTTGTCTCACAATTGCTTGAAGTTGTAGAAATTGTGTTACAAATCGCGTAACACTAGGACGAATAATATCTCTACCACCTGTATATTTTTTCATGAGACTCACAATATATGTGTGGTTATAGATGAAGGTTGTCACCATTTTTATTCACTTAATAAAGTTTGTATGCTTTCTGTTCTGGTCTGGGCCCAACCTCGGTCCAGCCCAATACCACGCACGGCCCAATAAGTGAACTGGCCACACCGGGAACGCGCGTCCCACAGGACGGGCAGGGCACGCCCCCAGCCATAGGCGACGCGTCCGACGGCTTTTCAACGTCCTCTCTTATCGGCCGATCAGGACACACCCCGGTGCGTCGAAGCGAGACCTTCTGTTCCTCCACGCCCTCGCGTTCCCCTCCGCGGGGAGAACAACGTGCCCGGTGCACGTTCTCCACGTGCTCGGCTCCGCGGGGACACGTCATCGACCAACTGCCCACCTCCAAAAGAGCAGGTCAAACCCACTTTCCGGAAATCAAGGAGCAGTTGGACTAGGGCGAAGACCACGTCCTGGTCTTCACTACGTCACGTAAGCCCTAGCAGTCATTAGGGTTGGGCCTGGTCATCCAGCCCACCTCAAATGACCGTTGGCCCAGCGCTAGGGTCTCTCTATAAATACCCTCTTCCTCAAGAGGGTCATGTAACACACTTCTTACCCCTCTTTCTGTACTTCGCCATCGCTCTGCCCAACTTCTCACTTTGGCATCGGAGTGTTTTGCAGGTACACCCCCCTTCTCTTCCTCATCACCGGTGAGCAAGCAGCAGTCCAACAGAGTGTGGCCAGCCCGTGATCCCCTTCTGATCAGGTCAGATCAGTGGTGCCGTCTGTGGGAACAGAAACTTCCCCGTTACTCCGAGCAGAAAACCAAAGTTTCACCAACACTCCACGATCATGGCTAGCCCACACCGCGACGGCACTCCGCACGACCTCGCGCTCAACGTCGCCACCAACGGAAACAAGCAGACGGAAACGACGCGTCCGGCGGAAACCGACGAGAGGGACGGTCAAAATGCCTCGCCGTCATCCGCAGAGCGGCCCCTTCAAGCCGACCACCGGCCCCCAGGCCCGCCAGCATTCCAACCCGTTCCCATCTCGGCGGGAGCGGACCCGACGGTGGCCGCCCTCTTCACGGCCATCAACCAGACGAACCAGCTGTTGGCCCAGCAAAACGCGAGAATTGGAGCATTGGAACGCGTCGGCCCTCCGAGGTACCCCCCGCGGGAAGACCAAAACGGAGGTTCGAGGAGTCCATCACCTCGACCCAGAAATCGTCGTCCACGGCTGGAGAGGCACCGCGCACAGGTAGCGCGAGAACACACCAGGTCCCCAGCAAGACAAGTTCGCGAGAGGAACCAAAGCACCGCGGCGATCCCGACCGGGGATCACCGAGGCGAAAACTCAGGCAGGAGGTCGAGAACCCGAAACCAGGGCCCTACTTTGAACGGCTCGTCTCCCCATCGATCCCCGGCACCCAGCGACGAGGACGATTACCGCACCCCGTTGTCCCGAGAAATCATGGCTGCCTCCATACCCCAAGGGATGGAGAAGCCACCGACGCTGTCGACGTACGACGGCACCTCCGACCCAGACGATCACCTAGAGGACATTGAGGCCATGCTCGACTACCGAAACGTCCGAGGAGCTATCAAGTGCAGGCTCTTCCTGACGACTCTGAGGAAAGGCGCCATGACCTGGTATAAAAGTCTGGAGCCCGAATCAGTTACGTCATGGAGAGTCTTAAAGGACCTGTTCTCCAAACACTTTACAGCGTCCCGACGCCACCCGAAGACGGAAGTCGTCCTCGGGGCGATCATCCAGGGCCCCGACGAACCTCTCTAAAAGTACATCGAAAGATTCACTCGAGAAGCAGTGCAAGTGACGACGTCCGACGAGATGAAGCGCTACTTAATGGAACAGGGTCTACGCCATGACTCCAAGTTCTACGAGGCCGTAGGCATACACCGGCCAACATCCCTCCAAGATTTCCTCGACAGAGCCGCACATTATATCCGGTTCGAAGAAACACAAGCGACCAACTCCGCCCGAGACACCCGGGACAGGGAGGCCCCCCGCGGGCACCGGGACGACGGAGCCTCGAGCCATCGACGGGGAGGGGACCGCCGTCGCGAAGACCGCCCTCGCGAGTCTCGCGAGCAACGCGAACCGCGCGGCCCTGTCGGCCGATTCACAGAGTACACGGCCTTAGTCGCTTCCCGCAAGCGCATACTGGCCGAATGCGCCAAAATCGAATTTGTACAGGGAGGTGTCCGTTTTCCGCGACCAACACCCCCCAAACCCAACATGGACAAATCGAAATACTGCCGATTCCACAGGAGCCACGGGCACGTGACAGAAGACTGCATTCATCTCAAGGACGCGATCGAAATTCTGATCAAAGACGGTCACCTGAAGAGATACACTCGAGGAGGCGAACCACCGAGGCAAGAGGCCCCAGAGGCCAAGAAGGTCGAGGAACTTCCCTCACCAGAGGACAACAGCAGGCTCCAGGTCGCGCTGTGTGTCAGCCGACCCGAGGATTGGTTCACGGACAGAGAATTCGGTCTCCCCGAAGGACCCGACCTAATCGACGAGCCAATCCGACCAACCAGCCGCTGGGAATACTTCGCCAGAGCCATGGTCATCTCAGATGGAGCCACGAGGAGCCTGTCCGTAGGATCCGTGAAGAGAAAATTCGACGAGCTTATCGCGAACAACTCCGGTAAAATGAGCACGCTCGAGAAATTCCAGGGCCGATCCAACCCGATCACATTTTACCTCGAAGAACTCCCCGGGGGATCCCCCAACTCCAACATACCCCTGCTCATCCGTGCACGGATGGCGAACTTCGACGTCAGGCGCCTCCTCGTCGACGGCGGAAGCTCGGTTGACATCATGTACGCGCACCTGTTCACAACTCTCCAGCTCGACGAATCCAACCTTTCCCCCTACGTAGGCTCCGACCTTCAGGGGTTCCACGGGAGACGACGAGACCTTGGGGGTACGTGGAACTGAAAGTCACCTTCGGAGAAGAGGAAACAGCTAGGGAAATCAGCATCCGCTTCTTAGTCATCGAGTGCCCATCCCTCTATAACTACATCCTGGGCAGGACAACGATAGCAGAACTCACCGCGGTACCCTCTACCGTCCACCTGAAGATGAAATACTACACAAGACGGGGGGCCGTGGTGACCCTTAACGGAGAATAATGGAAAATGGCGCATGTGTGTTGACTATACTGATCTCAATCGGGCATGTCCTAAGGACGCCTACCCCCTCCCCAACATCGACAAGCTCGTCGACAACTCCGCGGGCTTCAAGCTCTTGTCCATCATGGATGCATACTCGGGGTACAATCAGATCCCGATGGCCGAACACGATAAATAGAGCACGGCCTTCATGACGGTGTCGGGAAATTACTATTATAACGTGATGCCCTTCGGCCTCAAAAACGCTGGGGCCACATACCAACGGATGATGAACCGTGTTTTCCACGACGAAATCGGCGACATGCTCGAAGTATACATGGACGACATGATCGTCAAATTTGGCACGGAGGACGACCACACGGCACACCTCCGGAAGGTCTTCGAGACCGCAAGGTCGTGCCGCATGCGCTTCAACCTGGAGAAGTGCACCTTCGGCGTCTGCGCCGGTAAATTCCTCGGCTACTACTTGACCGAACGGGGGATCGAAGCCAATCCGGACAAATGCCACGCCTTCTCAAATATCACCACGCCCACCACGAAGAAGTCCATCCAATCCCTTAACGGCGTGCTCGCCTCCCTTTCCCGAATCATTGCCAAGTCCGCCCAGCACGCCCTCCCATTCTTCAAACTGCTCAGGAAGGAGACCAAGTTCGAATGGACGGACGAATGCGAGCAAGCCCTTTGCCACCTCAAACGCGTCTTGTCCGAACCACCAGTGCTGACGCGTCCCGTGACGGGCGAAACCCTATACTTATATCTGGCCGTGGCTAACGAAGCCGTCCTCGTGAGCGAAGCCGGGGAGGGCCAAAAGCCCATCTACTTTACTAGCAAAGCCCTCCATGGCCCCGAAATCCGATACCAGCTGATCGAGAAGGTCGCCCTAGCCCTCATCACGGCAGCGCGCCGACTCTGGCATTATTTCCTCGCACACGCCATCGTGCTCCGCACCGATCAGCTCATCCGCCAGCTCCTCGGCCGCCCCGACATGGCCGAACGCATGCTAAAATGGTCACTAGAACTCTCTGAGTTCGACATCACCTACGAGGGCCGACACGCCATCAAAGCTCAAGCCTTGGCCGATTTCGTCACCGAGATGACCTCACCACCCGACCCCACCGCCAGGAACCACGTCTGGACCATTTTTGTGGACGGCTCCTCCAACTCCACGGGGAGCGGCGCCGGTATCGTCCTCGACAACGACGAAGGCACCCTCATCGAAGTCTCTCTCACGCTGGCCTTCCCGACGACCAACAACCAGGCCGAGTATGAAGCGTTTCTGGACGGCCTTCGCTTGGCGTCCGACCTGGGAGCCAGGGACATCCGAATCTACACAGATTCCCAGCCAGTCGCTTCGCAAGTCCGAGGCGAATATCAAGCGAAGAACGACAACCTCGCCGAATACCTCGCACTCATCACCGAAAAACTGCGAGGTTTCGACACAGCAGAGATTCAGCACGTCCCTCGCGAGCAGAACACCTGCGCCGACATCCTCTCCAAACTGGCAAGCACCAAAAAGCGAAGCGGCCACAAGTCGGTCATCCAAGAAGTCTTGTCGCAGCCGAGTACCAGCGCGACCACTACCCCCCTCGACATCAACACCGTCGGAGATACTGACTGCTGGATGACCCCGCTCCACGCCTACCTCAACACCGGCCACCTTTCGGCCAACCCTGGAGAGGCTAGTGCAACCAGACGACGCGCCTGCTCGTACGTTCTCCTCGAAGGAAGGATGTACCGCCGAGGCTTCGCAATCCCACTCCTCAAATGCATCGATAAGTCCCAGAGCGCAGCCGTTCTAGAGAAAATCCACGAAGGCATCAACGCGCAGCACCTCGGCGGAAGATCCCTAGCACGAAAGGCCCTACGAGCAGGCTATTACTGGCCATCAATGCAATC